GCTGCAGGAAGTTGGGCATGCTTTGGCTGCTTTTCCACGGAAAGTGAAACTAAGTATTCCTTTTTTCGTTCCAAACATTACCCTGGGGAGTTTTGGAGCAATCACTCAGGTAAGCATAATATAGGTTGCTTCTTCTAGTAATGTCCCCCGTTGCTGTAAAGTGATTGCAATCACTCATGTCATCACTTTAGTTCGTTTCACAAAATAGTGAAATCTGCAACTTTATTACGTGAAGAATTAGATTTGGGGTGGGTTGGATTTGGAAGATAACATGTATTTTCTGTATCATGCATTTCAAATCGAAGTACCAGAAAGGTTAAAGTTATCAAAAGTGCTCCCAGCAATCGTATCATATGATTACTTCATAGTCTTTTCTTCTGCTAATGCTGAAATCCACCAACTTTCCATATCAAGATCATTGTCACACAACAATAGTCCTTTTCTTTTCTGACATTATAAAGTGAACCAAAGATGTTTGTTGCACTTTTAATGGCCTTTAGGTCTTAATTATTGCTTTCTTCTGTAGTTCAAATCCATCCTTTCTGATCGGAAAGCCCTAGTAGATATTTCGTTAGCCGGACCATTTGCTGGCGCTGCACTGTCTTTCTCTATGTTCACTGTTGGCCTGCTGCTCTCATCAAACCCATCTGTGGCAGGAGAACTGATTCAGGTCCCAAGCATGCTTTTTCAAGGTTCTTTGCTTCTAGGTCTTATCAGCAGAGCTTTTTTGGGTTATGCGTAAGTTCCTTTTTTTGCAGAATTCTCTATAAAGGAACTTTATAATTTAACTGAGAAGAAGTACTCTCTCTCTCTCTCTCTCTCTACCTCTCTCCCTCTCTCTCTCTCTACCTCTCTCCCTCTCTCTCTCTCTCTCTCTCTCATTCACTCACACACTCACTCTCTCTTTCATCTGTTTGTGTAAGTGTTTTACTTATACATTCATGCAATCTTGTCTGTCTCGTAATATTTTTTTGACATTTCTCATTTATTTCTACAGGACTTTGCATGCATCTACTGTTTCAATCCATCCTCTGGTGATTGCTGGCTGGTGATGTGCCTGTGGAACTTTAATTTATATTATAATTTGAAGAGAATGTGTAATGCTGAGCTGTGTGTTTGTAGGTGTGGATTGACATCCTCGGCTTTTAATTTGCTACCGGTGGGATGTCTCGATGGTGGAAGGGCCATGCAGGTAGCTCGTTTATTTCCTCACCCGATCAAATGTTTTGTTTCTATTTATTTTCATCAATATTAAGTATGGTGATTTGACTCGAATGAATTGCAAAATAATCTAAAGTACAGTACTTCAGTTTCTTTGGAATTTTTATATCCTTTTGATTAAGTATGTATTTAATTCAAACTATTGTGCCTGGCTGCCTGTGCTTGACTAATACACCTTGTTGTCAGGGGGCTTTCGGGAAAACTGCACTAGTTTTTTCTGGTTTGGCAACATACGGCCTGCTTGGTTTAGGAGTGGTATGGTTCATCTTTGCACACCATTAAGACCAGTGAAGTTGAGAATCTCGCGTTCTGTTAAATAATTACGTTGTTCTCAATTTCCTTTCTCCCTTTCTGATTTTTGCAATTCTAAGCCACAGAATAATGACAGCGAATGAAGTAAGGGTTGCATTTAGATGGAAGATTTTGCTAAAAATAATTTCACGTCTGTGATTCCTGCATTGGGCTACTTTTTGAGTCATTTCCTTCAGTTCTTTCAAATATTGTCCAAAGTTTCTATACCCGAATTCTTTGAAGCTGTTTGGTAAATTTAACAAATCGGATAAATTCCAAATCATTGGTTCCTATTTCGAGTTTTTTAGTAACACTGTTGTATTACACACCGATTTTATAGTCAGCCTTTTGAAATCCTTCCTACATGTTCTGTCCTCAAATCCAATTCGCTCGCCTATGCAACCTCAACAAAATTTCCCCTTAACATGGAGTAAAGCTTAGCTCTTCCTACAATGAATGTTGAATTCATAAGCTCCTACTTTTGAGTTCAATTCCATTTTATATGGAGTCAGTTGAGATCTTTCACCACAATTCTTATCGAAATCAAAATCCAAATTTCAACCCAAATGCAACTTAGGATTTATATGCAGTTTTTAATTGCTAAGATCTCATTTTCTTTCTTCCATCAGCTAGGTGGACCCTTGTCACTTCCTTGGGGACTATATGTGCTGATATGTCAGGTATGCAGACAGATCATAAGCTTTGCAATTTGCATATACTATTGAAGAAGAATAAGTTGGGCAATAAACGAGCACGATTAAGTTAATAAAAGCCATTAACAAATGCAGAGGGCTCTCGAAAAACCATGCCTGAACGATGTGACAGAAGTCGGGGCTTGGAGAAAAGCACTTTTTGTGGCGGCAACAGTACTTGTAGTGATGACTCTCCTTCCGGTGTGGGATGAGCTGGCAGAAGAGTTGGGTATAGGGCTCGTAACCTCGTTTTGATTTTGCCATTTGAGCTCAAAGACCGCCTTTTTT